GCTGGGGCGCTGCTCCGTGGCAGGGAAAGGAGGCCTCTGCCAGATGGAGGCCATCTCTCACCAGGAATGGTGTAGACGGGGCTGCAGGTTGCCTGGGATTTCCAGGCAGGTTGGCTCAACCTCCAGTTCCATGCAGAGGGCAGTGGGCTCGCTCAGGCCCCCCAGAGACAGAGAAGCAGCTAGCACCAGAGCCACGGTCAGAGCATGGACTCAACAAAAGGTCTCCCTAGAGGAGCAAAGTCGATACGAGAAGGGGGTGGCAGACTGGTTCCTCATTGACTAGTGGCCAAGATGGCCGGGGCCACACTCCAAGAGTCTCCAGCTGCCAGAGGCTGGGTCTGGACAACAGGGGAGGGATCACTCAAAAGCATCTGTTCTGTTCATTCCCTCGGGGGCGCGGACCCCCTCATAGGCAGTGAGTGGACTGGAAGCCCCACTGTGCTGATGCAGTGTGGCTTCCCTTATCTTCCACAGCCGGGGGAGATTTTTGCATGACAGTTTTGGCACAAAAATGCAGACTGAGCAGCACTGAAACCGTTCTGATTTTGCTGAATTGTTTGCTTATTACATTTTAAAAAAATAATCCTGCTAAATCAAACCATTGGCAGTTTTTGAAAGAAAAGGGTTGGATTTCACTTCCAAACAGACATTGTGTTCTCCTTGGCTTGTCTCTCGTTCTGAGCGTGGCCACACTCTGGTTTGATTTTGGCAAACCAAGTTTTGTTCCGTCTGAATCCAATTTTGAGTTTTCAATTTGCTGCGAACTTGTAAGTTCTTACTCTGATTCAAAACGGCCTGGGACTTCCCCCTCCTTCAAAATCCCTCTGGTGGCCCAGTTCTAGCGCGTGTTCTTGATCAAGATGGCTGCTAATGGCTATTATCTCTCTTCTAGTGCGGAATAGCACCGCCTGGAGGTGTCAAAGATCAGCGCTGCCCCTCTGCTAGATGCTGCACGTTGTCTGGACAGTTGCTAACCACCCCGAGCTACGTGTGAGACCCTAGGGCCAGTTGTAAGACACTGTAATATCAGTGGCTCCCGAACAATAAACTCTCGTGACTCTTCCAACACCACCTTGCACTCCAGGTTTGTGCTACTGGAAGGGTTCTGGCAGAGCATGTCGGAGCCAGGGGGAGGCTGGTGAATTGTGGTTTCACACACAAGAGTGGAAGGGGCCTTTGTGGCCGTTTCTCCGGGCCTCCTGCCTAGCGCAGGACTTGGATGATGCAGGCCTGGCGCTAATTAACTGAACAGGAAGAGATCTCGTCCCAAGAAGACCCTGTCTTGATTTAAAAGTAACTGGAGAATCCCCTGTGATGCTCCCCTGGAGAGTTACCCTCCCTGGTCAATACTCTCCCTCTTACTGCCTACGAATTTGCCAGCTTCCAGCCCTCGGCTTAGGCTAGGCCTGGGCCCGTGTGACTGGGCGAAACCCAGCCGTTGATTCCACTCGAGGGGAGCAGGGACAGACACTGGTGACCAGAGAGCTTCTACCAGGCCTATTACCCACCCCTGTAAGTAGAAGCACCCTTCATCTCAGCCCTCCCCTTCCCTCCCCACTGGATGTTACCATGCAGAAGCCTGAATTGCCCCCTAGGGTTGCCAAATACTTTCACAAAAAATCCAGAACATGGAAGGAAAAAAGTTGTTGAGCAAAAAAAAAAGGGTTGCTAGGCTTTTAAATACCCCGCACCCTTCGCTCTCCCTGCCCTCGCCAGACGCGGCCTTCCGCTGGCCTGCCGGACATTTTTTACCAGACAGGGGCCAGAAACAATAGACTATCTGGGCAAAAAACCGGACACCTGGCACTCTGGGGGGCAGGGGCGGTGCCCATGGAGGGCCTGGCCTAGGGAAGAAGGACAGGAGGGGAGGGGTACAGACCTGCTTCCATGGGGGCCAGAGGGCAGAGTCCCTGAGACAGGAGCGGTGCCGCCCCACACCTAGGGAAGCTATTAACATGCTGGCGAGCCATCTGCAATGTAGGCCACAGCCAGGACCGGCATGGTGCTGGGACTGGGAAGAGCACCAGGCACTGAGAGGATGAGGCCCAGGAGGCAGAGCTGCACTGGGTAGGGGTGCCAGGTGTCCGGTTTTGAACTGGACAGTCGGGTATTGGAGCTTTCTGTCCAGGAAACAAATTAAATGTCGGGTATTTTCTAATTAAGGATGTTTTATTATTTTCAAGAGTATCAGTACGTACTGGGAGACACGCTCGCACTGCGAGAGTCACACTGTGTGAGCGTGTCTACCAGCCAGGCAGTACACAACTACACAGTAGAGAGAAGAGGGGTAGGGGTGGGTAGGAATCCCCGGAGCCGGACTCGCCCGTGTGCCCCGTCAGGACCGTTTGCGCAAGAACCCACAGAGCAGCCACGCTGCTGGCCTGCTCTTGCTCAAGGAAATTTACAGTATGGCGTGGTAAGAGAGGGTGTCTTGCGCAAGAGCTATGCTCTTTTCTAACCGGTATAAGCTCTCTTGCGCAAGAGGGCAGTGTGGATGCTCGGCAGGGATTTCTTGTGCAAGAAACCCGTATGGCTAAAATGGCAATTAGAGCTTTCTTGCTCAAGAGAGCATCCACACTGCCATGGATGCTCTTGCGCAAAAGCACAGTTCGCACATGGCAGTGTGGATGTGTTCTTGCGCAAGACTTCTTGCACAAGAACCCTTGTGCAAGATATTCTTGCGCAAGAAGCCACCAGTGTAGACATAGCCTAAGAGTTTCCTCCCATGAGCAGAATGGATTTCTTCCCATTATCAGAATGGTTGTGCACCTGTACTGAGCTCATGTGGCTTGTTTGGATGTGCCACCAGAGGCATAGCAAGGGTGTTATGGGCAAAGGAAAAATTTGATTGTGCCCCCTCCCGGCCGCCATATGGCACGGCCCCAAACCTGGTGCACAGCTGAGGGGAACTTGTAGTGCATCTTCCCCCACCCCCTACAGTTTGGGGCTGGGTGCCCGCATGCACTAACCCGCTGGTGGA